AAATGGGTCATGGGAATCAGTGCAGTGTTTCTTCATTTGACCTTTTGAAGTAAAGACCATTTGTGGTGATTAGCTACTAACATGTTTTGTGTTTTTCTAGAGTATCTTTAGAAGACTTGTACAACGGAAAGACAACTAAACTTCAGCTAAGCAAGAATGTGTTGTGTAGTTCCTGTAATGGGTAAGTGCGTACATTTCTCTTTCTCGCTTTAGTTTGTTCTAAAGAATCCACATCTGCAGGGGTTTTTTTTTTAACCCCTTGGCACCTGCGCCTCCCGGCCCTTTAAGGGTTCCAGAAGCCAGGAGGTGGGGCAGGGTTTTAGTTTCATGTGACCGCTGTGATTCGCTGTCACGGCAATCACATGATCGGGAAAGGTCCCGATCGAAAGAGGAGATCGGGAACTTTCTGTGAGTACCGAACGTGTGTGCTGGGAGTGCTCTCGCCCCATATGTGTCTTTTTATTAGAATGCAAATGTGCGGCCGCTCAGCGTCCAGGCTCAGACGCCATGAGGCCGCACATTTGCGTTCGGCTGGCGCCAAGAGATTAACAATCTCATATTAAATTGACTATCAGATGGCAACAGACCGAGCCCACCTGATATGCAAATGTGCGGCATATATCTGCTGCAGGTTGTCAATGCTCTGAGCAGATATTGGCTGAAGCCGTCTGTTCTGATTACAGGATTTCCCAGAGGAAAAATAAAAACCATATTGTCCATTTGAATCTGCCTCCTTTTTTTTTTTTTTTTTTAAATCCTATATAATATGATACTTGATTGTTGGGCAGTAGACTGAATTGAATGAACTTCATTTAGGACATCTGCTCTTCACGTTAAATTAATTCCATAAATTTAAAGTGACACTTCAGTTTTGTTAAAGCGGTAGTAGAGGTGAAACAACAAAACAAACCAAAAAAACAAACCCTGCAAGCTAAAGGCATAATGTGCTAGTATGCATTGCATTGCATACTAGCACATTATGAAAGATGTGCCTTGAAACGACACCTTCCAGCTCCCCAGAGCTTCCATCTTCACCCGGTCTTCCTTCCAGGTTCGTGGGCTGCGGCCGCTTGAGTGGCCGTGCTGCAATTACGTCACTCCTGTGCATGCGTGTGGGAGTCATGGCCGCAGCATGGAGCTCTGAAGGAACAGCACGTGTATGCACCGGTGACGTCACCAGCTGCTGCCCCATAGAATATCTCCTAAGCGGTGCATGTTTAGTAGGTATTCATTTAACCTACAGGCTACCTGTAGGTTAAAATAGATATAAAGAGTTTAATACCACCTTTAAAAAAAAAAAAAAAAAGTTTGCCTTAAGTAGAGTAAGGGAGGGTTATAACTCAGGTTTTCAGGTTTTTTTTTTTTTCCATCTGTGAGTGAGATTTCCCTTCAATTCCTGTCCCATAGACAAAACAGGAAGGGAGATGAAATTCCTCCAAAGTGAGGGAATCCTGAGGTGTCACAAGGGTCAGCAAAACTAGTGCCCCCATTGGAAGATGTCGCCTCCTATTACTATTCTGACTGCATTCCAAAATTTGTCTTTTTTTTTTTTTTCTTATGGTCCTATTTACCATTGTCAACAAATGTGAGTGGGGGAATTTCCCTAATGGGGGCATTTCCCTAATGGGGGCACAGGCAGCAATGAAAACTCGACAGGTGTTCTAATCCCTCTCCACTCTATCCAAAACGAACAACAAAAAGGTTTTGCCTTTTCGTTACACTTTAAAGCTGTAGTAAACTCCGGAGCCACAAATGCCTCAGGAGCCACAAATGCACAGCAATCCAGGCCACAATGCTAAACATTTTCGAGCACACCACAGTAGTAATTGTCCTCATAGCATGTGTCTTGCAGCTTGGTTTCTTCTGTATCTCCTCCAGCTTCCGATTCTTCCTAATCTTTACTTCCGCCCTATCTCCTTTCTCATAACCATAATCCCATGCATGTGTAATAATAACTATTAATCACTTAAGGACCGCCCTATAGCAGATATACTGCTACAGGGCGACACCTGTGCACAGAATCACATATATATACATCATTTTGCATTTCCGGGTAGGGGGCACGCGCTGCGGATGTCAATCACCGGGTCCCGGACGATAATTACCCACCAGCGCCCAGTGATTACCGAGCATCTCCGACAGGGAGAAAGATTGTTTTGTTTACAATCTTCCTCCCTGTCAGCTCGAGCACACTGCTCTGGATGGCTGTGCACAGCACAGCTATCCCGATCAATGTGCTTACAGGGAAGAACACACCCCTTCCCCCCTAGTAAAACACTCCCAGAACACAGTTAACCCTTTGATCTCCCCTCACATTAACCCTTTCCTGGCCAGTGCCTTTTTTTTTTCTCGTTAGCACTGATCACTGTGTTGGTGTCTCCTAAACTGTGCAGGTTGTAATACTTTAAAAGACGCTTTGTTCTAGAAAATTTTAGAATGCTTTACATGGTGAAAAGTAGGGCAGGAGCGTTTACTACCACTTGAAGCTGTATACATCAACGTTTTTGACCATTCGATTGCAGATCCTTCTATTCTCTGTATATTGATATTACATCTCTCTGAGTTGGCAGACATATCTATCTTGTATCCACAGGTTTCTTACTCAGTGATTGACACAGGTGTCCTAGGCATTCCTTAAGGGTCGGTTAGCACTGATGCGGTGCTGGGTTTGCATCAAATTCTGTGTTTCCCGCACCGCATCAGAATCGCACTCCTTCATGCGCACCGCTGCAGGTGTCTGTTAAGGACACCAAAAAAAAGTTTGCAGAACGCAGTGCAATTGGGTGAATCTGATCGCATTGGGTGTGAACACCTATTCGATTTGATTCCAGTACAAAAACAAAAGTGCATGCACCTTTCTTGCGGGTGCAGTGCGATTTGAGCCATACAAAATGAATTGCTCAAATCGCACTGCAAAGAATCGCGTGTGATTTGAACAGGAACATGCGGTGCAATTCCTGTTGAAATTACAAGTGGTTTCCGCACTACAGTACTACTGCACGTCCCGCACTACAGTGGTGTGAACCAGCACTGAGATATGTACATAACTCATCCAGGGTGCAATGACCAGAGCAAAAAATCGAAGGGAATGTTGTATCCTATGTAGCAGGCTGCCTATAAGTGTACATGTGTCCTATGTAGCAGGCTGCCTATAAGTGTACATGTGTCCTATGTAGCAGGCTGCCTATAAGTGTACATGTGTCCTATGTAGCAGGCTGCCTATAAGTGTACATGTATCCTATGTAGCAGGCTGCCTATAAGTGTACATGTATCCTATGTAGCAGGCTGCCTAGTGTACATGTATCCTATGTAGCAGGCTGCCTAAGTGTACATGTATCCTATGTAGCAGGCTGCCTATAAGTGTACATGTATCCTATGTAGCAGGCTGCCTATAAGTGTACATGTATCCTATGTAGCAGGCTGCCTATAAGTGTACATGTATCCTATGTAGCAGGCTGCCTATAAGTGTACATGTATCCTATGTAGCTGGCTGCCTATAAGTGTACATGTATCCTATGTAGCAGGCTGCCTATAAGTGTACATGTATCCTATGTAGCAGGCTGCCTATAAGTGTACGTGTCCTATGTAGCAGGCTGCCTATAAGTGTACATGTATCCTATGTAGCAGGCTGCCTATGAGTGTACATGTATCCTATGTAGCAGGCTGCCTATGAGTGTACATGTATCCTATGTAGCAGGCTGCCTATGAGTGTACAGGTATCCTATGTAGCTGGCTGCCTATGAGTGTACATGTATCCTATGTAGCAGGCTGCCTATGAGTGTACATGTATCCTATGTAGCAGGCTGCCTATGAGTGTACATGTATCCTATGTAGCAGGCTGCCTATGAGTGTACATGTATCCTATGTAGCAGGCTGCCTATGAGTGTACATGTATCCTATGTAGCAGGCTGCCTATGAGTGTACATGTGTCCTATGTAGCAGGCTGCCTATGAGTGTACATGTGTCCTATGTAGCAGGCTGCCTATAAGTGTACATGTATCCTATGTAGCTGGCTGCCTATAAGTGTACATGTATCCTATGTAGCAGGCTGCCTATAAGTGTACATGTATCCTATGTAGCAGGCTGCCTATGAGTGTACATGTATCCTATGTAGCAGGCTGCCTATGAGTGTACATGTATCCTATGTAGCAGGCTGCCTATGAGTGTACATGTATCCTATGTAGCAGGCTGCCTATGAGTGTACATGTATCCTATGTAGCAGGCTGCCTATAAGTGTACATGTGTCCTATGTAGCAGGCTGCCTATAAGTGTACATGTGTCCTATGTAGCAGGCTGCCTATAAGTGTACATGTATCCTATGTAGCTGGCTGCCTATAAGTGTACATGTATCCTATGTAGCAGGCTGCCTATAAGTGTACATGTATCCTATGTAGCAGGCTGCCTATGAGTGTACATGTATCCTATGTAGCAGGCTGCCTATAAGTGTACATGTATCCTATGTAGCAGGCTGCCTATGAGTGTACATGTATCCTATGTAGCAGGCTGCCTATGAGTGTACATGTATCCTATGTAGCAGGCTGCCTATAAGTGTACATGTATCCTATGTAGCAGGCTGCCTATAAGTGTACATGTATCCTATGTAGCAGGCTGCCTATAAGTGTACATGTATCCTATGTAGCAGGCTGCCTATGAGTGTACATGTATCCTATGTAGCAGGCTGCCTATAAGTGTACATGTATCCTATGTAGCAGGCTGCCTATAAGTGTACATGTATCCTATGTAGCAGGCTGCCTATGAGTGTATCTCGGGCCCTGTGCAGAATTCTATGACAAGCTGGTTTCCGTTGCTTTTTCTTCCGTTTTTAGTTGTGACAGGTAGCTTTTTAAACTTTTACTTTCTTAAATGGTTTGCTTGTATCTGTGTCGTGTAGCTCTTTCTCTGCTCCTCTAATGCGTTGTATTTCTGTTCCTTTTAGACAAGGCGGTAAGAGTGGAGCCGTTCAGAAATGTACAGCCTGCAGAGGCCGAGGTGTGCGTATAATGATCAGACAGCTGGCTCCGGGGATGGTGCAGCAGATGCAGTCTGTCTGCTCTGACTGCAATGGGGAAGGTAAAACTCTTTGTGTAATTTGAACCTGTATTATCTGTGGGTTAAAGAACACCGTGCCTGTTTGTGACAGCTGCTGCCATATCTTAAAACTCTTTAGAGTTGGTACAGCTGATTCCTGTAAAAGTTGTACACCTCCTGATCCCAAGTCCTGATTTTCAAAGGTTTGTAAGACAAAGTACTTTGTTACATTCACTTTTTTTTTCTTAGTTGTTTTTGTGATTACCCTTCTAATGCCCTTGTAGCCCAATGGCCATATGCAGCTCCTGGATACATGTTTTTCAGTCCTCAGGCCCCTTTTGCCAGTAATGGGAGCATTTGATTGTAAAGCCACTGTAAGCCCTGGTTCGCATATATGCTGCCGGGCGGGCCGCGTGACACGCAGGGAAGAAGTCCTTGCACTTCATCTGAAAACGCAGCATGCACGGGAATCTTGGTTCCCAGTACGGTTGCATTTTCCAGTGCAGGTGGCATGACATTAGAAGTAATGGCACCCGCCTGCGGGCCTGCATTTCCCTGTGCGGGTGGTGCAGCCAGATTTTCGTGCGGATCCGCAGCTGCACCTCCCGCACAGATGTGAACCTAGCCTAAGCGCAATGGTCTCTAGCAGTTTTATGTAACTGGTCCCCAGCAGCATATCTACGGTCTCTAACCACACCTGTAGCAGTTTTTACAAAGGGTCAGCAGTCTCTCCATGTACTGATGTCCTGTATGATTTTTTTTTTTTTTTTTTTTTCAGGGGAAGTAATTAATGAAAAAGATCGCTGTAAAAAATGTGAGGGCAAAAAAAGTCATCAAAGAAGTGAAAATCCTAGAGGTTCACGTGGACAAAGGCATGAAACACGGACAGAGAATCACATTCACTGGAGAGGCAGACCAGGCCCCAGGAGTGGAACCCGGAGACATTGTGCTTGTGCTTCAAGAGAAAGAACACGAGGTGTGTGAGTGGGCCAGCTAACGTGGGGCACACTTTTATATATAGCAGCTTACTGACTGCTTCCCATAGGTGTGCATCAGCAAAATGTCCTCTCTGTGAGGCACACAGTTAACCACTTGAGGTTAACCCCTTTCTAGCCAGTGTCATTAGTACAGTGTATAGTATTAGCACTGATCACTGTATTAGTGTTACTATTGATGTCAGTTAGTGTACCCCCACAGCCAGTGTCAACTAGTGTCAGATTGCCCTCTATAAGTTGCTGATTGCTGGCTTTACAACTATAAAAACAAATAAAAAATAAAAAAAAATTCCAGTATATATCCCCTGGTTTGTAGATGATATAACTTTCACACAAACCAAATAACATACACTTATTGGGATTTTTTTTTTTTTACAAAAGACATGTAGCAGAATACATTTTGGTTTCAATTTTTTGAAGTAATGAGATTTAAAAAAAAAAAAAACATTTTATTGGATATGTTTTGTAGCAGAAAGTCAAAATTTTCAGTTTTATTTAATAAAATATAAAAAATAAAAACCCCAATGGTTGTCAAATACCACCAAAAGAAAGCTCTATTGGTGTGAAAACAATGACATAAATTTCATTTGGGTACAGTGTTGCATGACCATGCAATTGCCAGTTAAAGTAGCACAGCGCTGAATAGCAACAAATGTCCTGGTCATGACAGGAGTAAAACCTTCTGGTGAGCAGGAAGCAGTTTTTGCTTTGTGAAGTATAAAGACTTCCATCCTATAATTTCTTTTTTTATGATATGACGACTGTGGGGTAAGGCATGCAGTGCTGAGTAGCGGTTTGGAGATAAATTGGGGATACTTCTGCTGTTTTGTGTAAAGAACAGCTACATTTCATTGCATGGCTCTCATGTTGATCCTCTGACTTTGGTATGTTCTCAGCCGCTAACCTGAACTGTCTGAACGTCTTACTTGTTCCAGGCCAATGATTTACAAAAAAGTGCAGACATTGGGTCAGCTTGACAGCTAGGGAACCAGCGTTTTTAGAAGTTGCCAATTGCAGCTTTCAGGTTTCATTTAAGGTCCACTAAATTAGATCTGCATTCTTTTTAGGCAGGCATTGAAATTTTAGGATAGCGGGTAGATAAACCTACAGACAGGTATCATAAAATGCCCTTGGTCATGTAGAATTTAAAGGGCAAGTTGGTCTATACCCTGACTACACAGTTGAAACTCGTATATAGTTTTACAAATTCTCTGTCATAGCCCCTCCTCCTTCTCTTTGGTTCACTAGAGAAAATCACGTGCTTGGACATCCCCAAATAGAGCACTCTATCACATGAGCCGCCCTACATGCCTTTCCCTTCCAGCTGAGCCGCCCTACATGCCTTTCCCTTCCAGCTGAGCCACCCTACATGCCTTTCCCTTCCAGCTGAGCCGCCCTACATGCCTTCCCTTTCCAACTGAGCCGCCCTACATGCCTTCCCCTTTCCAACTGAGCCGCCCTACATGCCTTCCCCTTTCCAACTGAGCCGCCCTACATGCCTTCCCCTTTCCAACTGAGCCGCCCTACATGCCTTCCCCTTTCCAACTGAGCCGCCCTACATGCCTTCCCCTTTCCAACTGAGCCGCCCTACATGCCTTCCCCTTTCCAACTGAGCCGCCCTACATGCCTTCCCCTTTCCAACTGAGCCGCCCTACATGCCTTCCCCTTTCCAACTGAGCCGCCCTACATGCCTTCCCCTGTTAACTGAGCCGCCCTACATGCCTTCCCCTTTCCAACTGAGCCGCCCTACATGCCTTCCCCTGTGCAACTGAGCCGCCCTACATGCCTTCCCCTTTCCAACTGAGCCGCCCTACATGCCTTCCCCTTTCCAACTGAGCCGCCCTACATGCCTTCCCCTTTCCAACTGAGCCGCCCTACATGCCTTCCCCTTTCCAACTGAGCCGCCCTACATGCCTTCCCCTTTCCAGCTGAGCCACCCTGCGTGCCTTCCCCTTTCCAGCTGAGCCACCCTGCATGCCTTCCCCTTTCCAGCTGAGCCACCCTACATGCCTTCCCCTTCCAGCTATGACTTTACAGATCAGGCACTTCCATTCTTACATTCTTATCCTAAATTTCAGTAGACATGGCCCCATCAGTGATGATTTTCAGCAAGGAAAGGGAGATACCATTGCTTAGCTTTGGGGTTTTATAGCTGGAAACATTAGCAGGTGGTCTTGATGTGAAAAAGTCAACAGATACTTCATTGTGACGATATATCCACCCATAGAAGGAATATCTGTAGGTCTGCTCCTGAAAGGGACAAAAAGCACAATGCCTGCCTTCTATGTCTGCTATGGAAGCTGGAACTCAGGGCAGCAAACTATTTTGCAACATAGCCATGCAGCTGCAAGCGTGTTAAAGGAAAAATGGCTGCTTCTTTCAGGCTCCTCAGTTACTCCTTTTAATGTAAAAGCATTTTTGTTTTACAGAGCTTTCAGCGAGATGGGAAACGACCTGCATATGACACACAAGATCGGCCTGGTTGAAGCATTGTGCGGATTCCAGTTCGCTTTCAAGCACCTTGATGCCCGTCAGATTGTTGTCAAATATCCTCCTGGAAAAGTGATCGAGCCTGGTAAAGTATAGGGCACCTCTGATCAGTCTGACCTCTTATATGTCCAGCTGTGTAGCTGAGCTGTGTTATGTGTTTCTCCATGTAACTTTACACTGTTCTCCGGCCAGGCTCTGTACGCGTTGTCAGAGGCGAAGGAATGCCACAGTATCGTAATCCCTTTGAAAAAGGAGACCTGTATATTAAGTTTGATGTCCAGTTCCCAGAAAACAACTGGATCAACCCAGAGAAACTATCTGTGAGTTCATTGTACTTGTCTGATACCTAGGGGGTGGGTTGGGGATGTTTGTGTTTTCTCTTTGTAAGCACAAGAGAGGAGAATGAAGATAGTCTGGTTGCAGTAGTTTCTCCCCCCCCCCCCCTCCTTCCTTCTTCTGTCACGCAGAGGTTGATTTAAAAAAACTGGAGAGTGTGAAATCTGGTGCAGCTGTGTCAGGTAGCCAATCGAGCTTCTATGTTCAGCTTGTGCAATAAAGCTTTTAAAAAAAAACAAAACATGGAAGCTGCTTCCTGCTCCTTCCTACATTGCTGAGCTGCACCAGATTTTGCACACTCCAATTTTATTAACCACTTCCCATCCGGCCGATGTACATAAACGGCCGTACGGGAGCAGTGCATGGGCGAGTGGCCGTTTATAAACGTCCTCCCGCTTCCCTGGCTGTGTGCACTCCCTGGGAGCGCGCAGCACCACGATCGGTGCACACCGATCGCTGTACAGGACCTCTGTGTGAGGTCCTGAACATGTGATCACTGATTGGCCAATCAGTGATCACATGAATAGTAGTAAGCAAGATGACACTTCTGACATCATTGCTTACTACGTGTGAAATCTGTGAATGATCACTGAGCTCACATGGTACAGGGCTAGTCACAACAGCCTTGTACCATGTGACAAGCTGTGACCAATCACAGCTCACAGTATTTCTCAATGGCTGCAAGAATGCAGCAAGAGAGGAGGAGAAATTATTGCTTTTACAGCCTTTATGGGTGTAAAAGCAAACAGTGTAAAAAAAGAAAAAAAGGAAAAAAAAAATCTTCATCACCCCCCAAAAGTAGTACAGCGTCACTATGGTAACAGTATGTTAAAAAAACATAAATAATATAAAAGTTAAAAATGTAAAAAGTTGAAAAATTAGTTTTTGGTTATAAACTAATTTGGGTTATTACTTACTTTTTTTTTTTTTACTACTAAAGAGATAGCTGAATACATTTTGGCCAAGATTTATGAAGAAAGATTATTTGCAAAATTTTATAAGAAAAAACGCTTTTTTTTTTTTTTCCAAAATGTTTGGACTTTCATTTATATAGCAAAAAAATAAAAATCCCAGTGGTGAATAAATACCACCAAAATAAAGTTTTATCTGTCTCAAAAAAAGCTAAAAAAATTCATATGGGTACAGTGTTGCATGACCGCGCAATTGTCATTCAGTGTGATAGCGCTGAAAGGTGAAAATTGGCCTGGACAGGCAGGGGGTGAAAGTGTCCGGACATGAAGTGATTAAAGCACCCCCACAGTTTTCGTCTTGAGGCTCTTTTGCCGTTTTTGCAGCAGCCCTGTTCCATGGACATTGAGCTCTGTTGTTCAGAAAGTAACCTGAGGTTTAGTGGAGATGCCACGTATGCTGGACTGTTGGGAGAAACATACCAGCAGCATACATACAGAGCTGGGGGAACACATTGATAGAGCATATACATTGTATTTACGACCCACATTTTTTCCATTTATTTATTTTTCAAAAGGTTGGCCACACCTTTACCTTCCACTCCTCAACCCCCTGTTTAACAAGAATAATTTCCAATGAATAGGAGCTAACAGGGCTTGACACATTTACTTTGAATCTAGGAGCCAGCTAAACTTAGGAGCCAATATTTTTTTTTTTTTTTTTTAAAGCTTTTTTTGCTATACGTCCCTGAGCTACTTTATCTGACAATGGCTCGGTCATGCAGCACTGTACGCAAATTAAATTTTTATATAATTTTTTTCACATAGATCTTTCTTTTGGCGGTACTTGATCACCACTGGGTTTGTTTTTTTTGTTTTTAATTTTTTGTGCTTTAAAGGAAAAGTCTGAAATTTTTTGAAAAAAATATATATTTTTATTTTTTGCTGTAAAACATATCCAATAAAAAAAGTCTTCATAAATTTAGGCCAAAATTTATTCTGCTACATTTTTTGGTTAAAAAAAATCCCTTTTTAACTATATTAGCTTGTGTGAAAATTATTGGTTCTACAAATGATGTCTAGTCTGGAATTATTTATTTTTTTATTTTTTTTAAATACTAGTAACGGCGGCGATCAACGACTTATAGCAGGACTGTGATAGTATGGTGGCCATTCTGACATCACAAGTGACACTAATACAGTGATCAGTACTAATGACACTGGGCAGGAAGGTGATAACATCTGGGGCAATCAAAGGGTTAACTTGTGCCTAGGGAGTATAGTGGAACTGTCAGGGCCGTTGTTAGAATTCATGGGGTTCCTGAGCCCACAAACTTGCGTAGAAAAATGCAGCTGTGTCTTCAAGGGGGGACAAACGGGGAGGCTTTGGTGCTTAGTGGAGGGGAGATGGGGGATCCTGGTGCTTAGCAAGAAAATATGGGGGGTCCTGGTGCTTGGTAGGAAGAGGTGGGGGGGGGGGGTCTTGGTCCTTAGTGGGGATAAATAGGGTGGTATTGGTGCTTAGTGGGGATAAATAGGGGGTATTGGTGCTTAGTGGGGATAAATAGGGGGGGTATTGGTGCTTAGTGGGGATAAATAGGGGGGTATTGGTGCTTAGTGGGGATAAATAGGGGGGTATTGGTGCTTAGTGGGGATAAATAGGGGGGTATTGGTGCTTAGTGGGGATAAATAGGGGGGTATTGGTGCTCAGTGGGGATAAATAGGGGCGGTATGGTGCTCAGTGGGGATAAATAGGGGGGTATTGGTGCTCAGTGGGGATAAATAGGGGCGGTATGGTGCTCAGTGGGGATAAATAGGGGCGGTATGGTGCTTAGTAGAGATAAATGGGGGGGGGGGGGGTATGGTGCTTAGTGGGGATAAATAGGGGGGGTCATGGTGCTTAGTGGGGATAAATAGGGGGGTCATGGTGCTTAGTGTGGATAAATAGGGGGTCTTGGTGCTTAGTGGGGATAAATAGGGGGGTTATTGGTGCTCAGTGGGGATAAATAGGGGGGTTATTGGTGCTCAGTGGGGATAAATAGGGGGGGGTCTTGGTGCTTAGTGGGGATAAATAGGGGGGTTATTGGTGCTTAGTGGGGATAAATAGGGGGGTTATTGGTGTTTAGTGGGGATAAATGGGTGGGTCTTGGTGTTTAGTGGGGGGGGGGGTGGGGAGTCTTGGTGCTATACCAACACAGATCTCTCTCCTGTCACTCACTTTTGACCATCATGTAAGGGAGCCAGTGAGACTGCAGCTGGGTGGGCGCACGCTCGCTCCCTACCTGGAAATGCGCATGGTGCCAACAGTGAATGGGCTGACAAAAGCGCCAAAGTGAGGGATTGCTTAAATCCCATCTCCTGGGGAAAGGAAAAATCTGTCCTTGCAGTGAGGCTGCCCCTGCACAGCAGGGATTAAATGCTTATATAGATCCTGGGTGACACTTACTTACCCAGTCTTCTAGCTGGCACCTTTCTTTTGTCCCTTACGCCCCAGTTTGTGGACTGTCCCTCGCTGTCCTCATGTCCAGTGCAAGGCATGGGCTCTGCATTTCTCTTTGTCAGAGGACCTGCATTGACTTGAAGCATAGGGGAGAAGAGGCCATGGGTGCTGCTCTGTCAGGCCTAATGGGAGCCTGCGCCAGTGGAGGATGGGGCAAATCAAACTGCTTTTTGTGGCCACCTAGACCTAAAGAAGCATTTAACACTCGCAGTGTGGTGGCAACTCCACTAAAAGGGAAGATTTTTCCTTTCCTGGAGTTCAGCTTTAAGGCTTGGTTCAAACTAGTGCGACTTAAGATGTATAAAGTCGCATTACAGGTCGAAACCCATTTATTTCAATGGCACCCGTTCCAATCTGTGACTGAAGTTGCGGCATCTTTAAAAAAAAAAAAAATGCTTTCTACACTACTTTGGTGCGACTTTCTTGCAACTTGAGTGCCATAGAGCGTAAAAGTCGCACTGGAAACCGCACAACTAATTTTGTGCCATCATTGTCTACAGGAACTTGAAGACCTCCTCCCTGCCAGACCTGAATCCTCCACAATCACCTCCGATGCAGAGGAAGTAGACCTTCAAGAATTTGACAGCACCCGTGGCTCCGGAGGTGGACAGAGACGCGAGGCCTACAATGATAGTTCAGATGAAGAAAGCAGCCACCATGGGCCAGGAGTACAGTGCGCGCACCAGTAAACCTTTCTCAACAAAGTTGCACAACAAAAAGGATTACCTTTTTGAATTTTTTTTTTTTTTTTTTCTCTTCTGCCTGTTTTTTTTTTTTTTTTTTTTTTTTTCTCTGCAACCCAGCTGAAAATTTTGCCCAATCAATCCTGATATAGGACATCTCTGTTGCTGTATGTGTAACTTAAACAAAAATGGTTCTATAGTATTTACAGAGTGTATAATTTAAACTAACCAGACACCTTACATGCAGTTTCAACCATTCTGTAACTAAAAAAAAACAAAAACCAAATCCCTTTTAAAGAAAGAAGAGATATTACTGCTCTCCATACCAACTGCTTTTTTTTTCGTTTTTTTTTCTTTTTCTTTTCTTTTTTTTTTTTTTTACCAGTCTGTGTAGATTAGGGTCAGGCAACAGGTAATCCTTCTGACGTTGAATTCCGAATCTCGACGAGAGCTTGAGTTCTTCAGCAGCTGCTGGGCGCTGCAGGCTGCCTGCTCCTTGTGTAGATTTTATGTTTTCTGTATTAATTTCATACATGTAAAAAAAAAAAGTGTGTTTTTTTGTTTTTTTTTTGTTTTGTTTTGTTTTTCTTTTTTGTTTGTTTTTTTTGTTTTGTTTGTTTTGTTTTGTTTTTTTTTTCTTCTGGAGCTGTGTATTTTTTGGCTGCACTTACATGAGCTGCTACATATAGAATAAAAAATTTCACGGCCTGTATTTCCAGTACCAATAACACGCTTGTTGATTTTTATTTTGTTCCAACTGGGGCGATCACAATGTTACCTGGACGTTTTCTGCCATTTTTCTCCTCCTTTGTTCAAGTGAATGGTTAATAAAACAGTATGTACGGTTGGTGTGGTACTAGTATGTTCATAACTGGGTAGGTGAACATGTGCCTGGGAGCTTTTTTTCTTTTTTTTTTTTTTTTTTTTAATATGGTTCCTAAGTTCTGCAGCAGGAGTTACAAGACCCTCTGAGAAAGCAGCAATCTGACTGTCCAAGCTACCAGCACAAACAAGTAACATCCTGGGTCTCCAGTGGTCTGCCATGACCCCTGCCCAAGCAGCACTGGCTATTGGAAAGGAATGCACAGATGGGGGTTGGTGTGGATTTGACCACTGCATATCAGGTGACTGATATGAAGATTAAGGTGGTTGTAAAGCCTGCAGGTTTTTTACCTTCATGCATTTTATGTGCAGCAGCCCCCCCCCCTTTCCTCATCCCCCCCCCCCTTTCCTCATCCTTTCCTCAACCCCCCCCCTTTCCTCATCCCCCACCCCCCCCCTTTCCTCATTCCCCCCCCTTTCCTCATCCTCCCCCCCCCCTTTCCTTTCCTCCCTTTCCTCATCCCCCCCCCTTTCCTCATCCCCCCCCCCCTTTTTTCCTGCTTACATGAGCCCGATCTATATCCAGTGGTGTGCACAAGAAGAGTGGCTCCATCCCTTTTCATTGGCTCAGACATAGCAGCAGGAGCCTTTAGCTCTCATGCTTCTGTCAATCACAGATAGTGAGAAGGGGGCGGGGCTGAGCCACACTCTCTTAGGGAGTGAGCACTCACGAGTGCCCCCATAGAAAACTGCTTTCTATAGGGGCACAGCCAGGAGTGCCAACGGGGGACCCCAGAACAGGAGCAAGGCGGCTCTGTTCAGAACCATCAGCCAGATTTGCCATTGTGCACATAAATTCTGTTCATCTTTCCAGCAATTCAATGCTCTGAGGGGAGTTTTGCAAAACTGCAACAGTACATGGCAACCAATTAGCGTCTATCTTTCATTTTGAAAATGTAACTGCAAATACAAGCTGATTAGTTACTATACACAGCTGCTACAGTTTGTCTGCACCAGTTTTGATAAATGTCCCTCTCTGTGTTTTTCTGTAGAGCAGGTCTCCAAAGGGCCAGTTTTCTGTCTTTCAGATTTCAGGTGGGGCTGGACTAGGACCAGTGTAAGTAGATAATTTCCAGACATCCAGTGGATGTAAACAATGCCTATCTTTGGTCTTAGGGGGATAAATGGTGTCAATAGGAGGCATAGTATTCTATCACTGGTGTCAGGGGAAGGAATTCTACCCCATTGTTGGTGTCATTGGATGGAATAGGGCCCCAAGGAGCAAATAGTCAAGCAAAGAGCCACATCAGGCTCTACAACAGAAAACCGCAGCCTAGGGCCACTGCAGTACGAGTTCATGGCCCTGGCAGCCTTTTTTTTTTTTTTTTTTTTTGCATCTCGACTGTTCCCCACAATGCTGTCTTCAGTGCGTCGTCCCTGAGCTCCTGGAGTATTCCCAACATAGGGTATGTGGGTGACCTCTTGTTGGCAGCGCTCTGAAAGACATCTGACTTCTAGAAATTACACCAATTTGGGTGGATCCTGAACTGATCAGTCCGTTGGAGTATCTGGGTCTGGTTTTCCGGCAGACTGAACCATCAGAATTTCTGGTCATGGGTTTAAGGCTAGGTTCACATCTATGCAGATTGTGGTTTTTGACATCACTCATTGGTGTGACTTTAGCTGGTTGTCCATGAGTCCGGCATCCTTTATTACCAATAACCAACATGGTTAAGGAGTGGATAGCTGCCTGGTGTCCTTAACCGTTGAGCCATTAGCTGTGAGTGGGGTTCCCTACTGATTTACCCAGCATGCCCCTGTTAATGACATACTCATTCACATGGGGGGGCTTGTGTATATCTGGGGGCCCCTTCTGAGAAGTCACCCCCCCCACCTTAGGGTTGTGGGGAAGAGGCTCTTGTTCTCATCACCATACATTATCAGGATCTCTTCTGTCATAAGACGTCTGGCAGCAGTTTAGAAACTTGAATACCACCTTAAATCCAGAAAACTGACAGGTTTGGGGCTAATAGTAGCCTCCTTCAAGGCTGTTCTCTACCCAGGATCACTCCACAGACAGCTGCTGCACAATAGTCTGTTGTGAGACAAATCAGTCCTTCTAGATATGTCAGTTTAGTTGAAATGAAAAAGCAGGCTAGCGCCTGGGTCCATGAATCTGGATCTAGAGTGATGGTCCTTTCTTCCCATTTTCTGGTGAAGTCCATGGCACCTTATTGGTACAGGGGACGCAGGTGAAGGAATGTCATCTAGCTTTAGTTGATCTAGCTGTCACATTAGCATTGGAGAGAAGCCAAACGTCAGGCCAGTGACATACCCCAACCATTAGTGAGGAACAAAGTCTCCCTGGCCAAGAGGTATAACAGATCATGTTCTAGCCTTGTATATTCTGGGCATAGACAATTGAAAGGCAGATTTCCTCAGCTGGCAGTGTTTGGTGGCAGGAAAATGGTCTCTCCACCCAGAGGTGTTCCAAGTCGGGGACTGTAGATAAGATCTCCTGGCTTCCAGGTTCAACAAACGGAATAAGTTGGTTAAGGTGCAGAGAGCCACTGGTAGAAGCAGTAGATGCTCTAGTACACAGGTGTCAAACTGGCAGCCCTCCAGCTGTTGCTAAACTACAAGTCCCATGAGGCATTGCAAGAATGACCGCTACAAGCATAACTGCCAAAGGCAGAGGCATGTTGGGACTTGTAGTTTTGCAACAGCTGGAGAGCCACCCATTTGACACCCCTGCTCTAGTATCTCAGTACACCCTCATCTATGTCTTTTGTACTCTGAATGTTTTTTCAAAAATCAAGCTGAATGGCAGTCCACAGCTGCTCGTTGCTCTGAATTGGTCCAGGTGGATTTGGTATACCAACCTATAACGACTTTAGCAGATGCACTTTGAGCCCTCCTGCATCTTCTGTCCCAAGGTCTGATTTGCCATCTTAGAACATTGGGTCCAAGAGCCATGCCAGAAACTAACAGACAGGCATCTGAGCCCAGTTCCTGCAATGCTTGGAATCCACATCCCACAAGGTCTGGTCTCTTTGTAACTGCTTAGAACACTCACCCCTTCACTTTTGTTATGGTGCAGCCTGATACAATTTTGTCCTCAATCTACACCCAGCACCCCATAATGGCAAAACAAACAGAATTTTAGAAAAGTCGAGAGTTTATTAAACTGAAATATCAGATGGGCAGTCAGACCCTCTGCACTTGAAAGTTAGCTTGGGTGCCTCCCATTTCTCCTGATCGTTGCCAAGATGTTTCTGGACCTTGATTGGCATCCACTTGGGGTAAAAATCAAGTTACTTACAGTAACGTCTTTTCCAGGAGTCTTTCAGGCCAGCACTGCATATTGTACAAACTGCCTGCAGATCTCAGAAACTGGATTATTGCAAGGTACAGATCTGGGGAAGGCTACAAAAAAAAAAAAAAAATCTAAAGTTTCCCAAGATCACAGGGAGCTCCATAATTCTCAGACTTAATTTTGGCTCTGGCTGTACCAAACTTAAGTGTTATTGCAAAGGGTCTGAATACTTAAAAAACCTGATATATTGATAGAATTTACATAATTTCTAACATTCTATTTGTTCTCATTACTGGGTACGGAGTGTAGATTAACCACTTGCCTACCAGGCACTTATACCCCCTTCCTTACCAGGCCAATTTTCAGCTTTCAGCGCTGCCGCACTTTGATTGAAAATTTGCGCGGTCATGCAACATTGTGCCCATATGAAATTTTGATCATTTTTTTCTCACAAATAGAGCTTTCTTTTGGTGGTATTTAATCGGCGCTTTACTTTTTGCGCTATAAATTAAAAAAAGTGCAAACAATTTGGAAAAAAAAAAAAAGTTTGAAAAATTTTATAAAAGAAACAAACAGGTATTTTTTCTCCTTCACTGATTTGCGTTGATGAGGCGGCACGGATAGGCGGCACTGATAGACAGCACTAATTAGGGGTCACGGATAGGCGGCACTGATATGCAGCACTGATAGGCGGCACTGATGATGGGTACTGATAGACGGCACTGACTGGCATCACTTCTGGGCACTGACTGGCAGCACTGACTGGCACAACCCCTGGGCACTGACTGGTGGCACTGACTGGCAGCACTGCTGGGCACAGGTGGGTGGCACTGGTGGGCACAGGTGGGTGGGCACAGGTGGGTGGCAC